TTAACGTCACCGTATGATCTTTCTCTATCACCAAATCCCCGCATCATGAGAATTGTTATTCTTTCCCTCTCTGACAATGCCATTGTTGACAGTATAATGAAGTAAAGAATTTTCTAAACTTTAGCAATCCTATTAATATTCTAATAAAGTCTGCAAATAAACTTTAAATTGTAATAGAAATCCCTAAAATATTCCAAGATGAATAAGGTGTTTCCGGTTCAAGAGGTAGACTGTGAATGAATTTACTCAAGCACCCCAAAGTATCCCGAAATGAATAAGTGTTTCTGGTTCAAAAGGTGGAATGTAAATGAATTTACTCAAGCATCCCAAAGTAATAAGATGATAATCACGGGATGATACCGTGGGATCACCTGATCCTGTGGAATCATGGGTTGATTCTGTAGGATTATCTGATCCCATCAATTCAACTGGAAAATCTAATCACATGTTAGTTTTTCGATCTGATGCGCGATTCACGAAAATATCGAAAAATGTCATTTTTGCGTTTTCAGCGCCATCTATCAAGATTACAAAAAAATGTTTCAGACAAAACTTACGTACTTTTTAACGTGGAATGCGAATCTGTTATAAAAAGTGGGGGTTCCCATTTTAGATTTTAAAGTTGTCCCCCGCCCCACCCACAGGGGTGGGGGTGGGGGGGTTAATTTTGGTATCATTCGATAGCTCTTTCAAAAATAGGAAATACTTATTTTTCCGTTTTCCGATCCACCCACAATTTCTCGGGATATTCAACCGTTCCGGGACTTTTAGACCACCCTGTATATATTAGGGTGGAGCATTCAAAAAATTTTTAATTTTACAACGCCCGTAGATGGAAGCGATGCGAATTTGTTTAAAAATAAAAATTTGAAAAGTTTTGACTCGATCGGAGCTCATCTTCTGCCTCCAACTTCAGTTTGAAAATTTGATTATAGGAGTAAAATCATAAAAATTAAAAAAGACGCAATTAAAAATTTCAATAAATTTTTAATTCTATTTCAAGAAATTTTAAATTATATTTTCATCAACAGTTTAAAATGTTATATTCTAATATATTAAAAAATTAAACCAATTGAAATATATGTATAAGAGCAGGTCATTTTGTGTGTACGTCCACGCAGGCGGGATCCTCTTAAGGGATAAAGTTCTCTAAAGTTCTCAAAATTCTTCTTGAATCCACGGATGTATGTACATTGTATGTATGTACATATTTCACGTTTGGAACAGAGACTTTCAAGACCTACTCGGTACTCGTGACGATCAGTCAGTCCGTTGATTCACAATTCTTTCACAATTCCAACTTTTCTTCTTTCTCCTTCGAAACATTTTCCAAAATATGGCTTATTACAGTTCCAACGAAGTTGTAGATATTTTACTTTCACTTGGCGAGTCTCGTCAAAATTATCGTCAAGCAGCTGCATTGTATTGTCAAAAATTTCCCAACAGACATCCTACTGGTCAACAAATAAGACACATCGAATTGCGAGAACGACTAGTGGTTCGACAAAGAGTCAGAAGATGTCGCACTGCTGATAACGATAATGACGACCCCCGAGTTCAACGTGTGCTCACTGCAGTTGGATTAGATCCTCATATTTCTACTCACCAAATTGAAAGATTGACATAATTGCCACATCCTACTGTGTGGAGAATTTTAAAGAGGCATAGGTTTCATCCGTATCATATTACCCTTACTCAACAGTTAAGTGAAAATGATATGGTGTTGAGAATTCAATTTTGTGAATGGGCTTTGGAAAGGATACGGTTAAACCCAATTTTTTTTACTTTGTAATGTTTACCGATGAAGCTATGTTCCATCATAACGGCCAATTAAATAGGCACAATTCACATTATTGGTCGCCTATAAATCCTCATTGGACTCACATGGTTGACAATCAACGCAGGTGGACTCTTCATGTATGGTGTGGAATAATTAATGGATATTTGATAGGACCTTACTTTTTTGAATACAATTTAAACAGTGCAAGATACCTTTCATTTTTGCAAAACGAATTATCAGGTCTTTTAGAAGAGGTTGATATCAATACTCGTAAAAAAATGTGGTGGCAACAAGATGGAGCACCGCCTCACTCGGCTGGAATAGTCGCCACTTACCTTAATCAAGTGTACCATGAAAAATGGATAGGCAGATTCGGCCCTACAAAGTGGCCTCCACGTTCTCCAGATTTAACTTCACCAGATTTTTACTTGTGGGGTTATTTGAAAAATGTAGTATACAAAGAAGCTCCGACAACTCGAGAGGATATGAAAAACAGAATAAAAAGAGCCTGCAATAATATTCCTCGGCGAGTTTTGTTATCTACCATTATAAATTTTCAGAAACGGCTCCGTTTATGTTTACAACAGAATGGTAGTGTATTCGAACATTTATTAAATGGATAAATTAAAAAATTAGCGCTTCTAAGCCTAGTGCTCGTCACATGCACACACGTACACACATGATCGTGTTGCCGCGCCGCTCCGTGCGCGGTGTATTTTCCTTCTTGCTCGCTCCGGAGGTGTTCTCTGACGAGAACCGATAGGATTCTTTGATGGGATGTGGCTGGTCGGAGGTCACTTCAAGAAGGCACCGTTGGATCTCACAGATTAACTTTATTTAACTGAGTTTCACAATATTGGTTGACGGCAGGCCGAAGGCCTGACGGACAAGTGTTTAACGCGTACAGTATGTTATCGGATACGCGATAGTGACAAGTGCCTTGATCTCGGGCTTTCCTCCGGTTTTAAACCCGATGATCGAGGCGTCAGCGTTCTCGGTACTCAATCGAGGTTTCTCGGTACTCGATCGAGGTTATGCGTAATCGGGTCGAGAACTTGCTGACTTCTTCTCCGAATTTAATTAGGTTGCGCGGTCGGGCTTTTGTGGCTCGATCGCGCAATATGCTTACGCTAGTATTATTCTAATTGCAGTAACTCTGCTTGAGTGCCCTCGTTACCTCTTTCGGCAATCGGGGCACAACAATCGGCAAGAAGTCTTACGTAAAACAAGCACCCCGAAGTGAGAGGCAAGGGGACTCACGTAAATCAAGCACCCCAAAGGGATGAAAGCCCCGCTACGTCTACGTCGTTCATCCTGGGTAACACTAAGCACGGGAAAATGCGTGTCGAGCGGTATGAAGCTGGTTGACCATCAAACAGAGTCAGATAACGGATAGAAACAACAAAAATACACACGCGCGCGCACGCACAGAGAGAGAGAGAGAGAGAGAGAGAGAGAGAGAGAGAGAGAGAGAGAGAGAGGGGGGAGAGAAGGAGAGAGGTAGAGAAAGAGCGAGAGAGAGGGGGGGAGAGAGAGAGAATGACAGTTTGAAGTCACAAAATGCGCACACTGTATGGGGGTCGAAGCCTTTTACTTAAATTATAAACTTTGGAACACTGTAACTCAGTGCAAGATGATCCAATTTAAAAAAATAAAAAACCCCGTTGTATTTGTCTCCATGTCACCTACGACATTCACTGGAACATAAAAATCGGTTGCCATTTGCAAAAATGACCGCCATGTAGAAATCTCGAAAGTGGCGCCACCTACAATTAAACTGACATGGCCAACTTCTGCCTCCCTTGGAACCATAAAACTATTGTTTAAAACATTTTTCCTATCTCTTTTATTTTAAGAGATATTTAGCTGCATCACTTAAAATGATACACCCTGTATAATAAAAATGTTATATTAATTAATATAATATATAAATATATTAAAATTTAATAAAAATTTGTATACATGTACGTAATGTGTAAATTTATTTTTAATTTATCCTGAACTAATCCTGAAAGAATATGCATATAACCTAAATTAATCCTAGAAATAGTATATAAAGCACTGCAATGATGTATCCTGGACTAATTTAAGATGTATTGTGGATGTTTTAAGGTTTTTAAGATATCGTATAAAAATCCTGTAAATATCTTTAGGACGTTAAAATAAAATCTCCTGAGGATATTTCTAGGAATTATTGAGGTGCTCATTTGCTATTCCTTAGGACATCCTAAAAAAGTACGAGGATTATAAACAGATATCCTTAGGATATCTAATATATCCCAGCAAAATTTTCTTAAGAGATCCAAAGGACATCCTTGTGCTGTTTGGGACATGTTAGAAAGACGTTCAGAGGACGTCCACAGGATGTTAAAACATCCTCTAGACATCCTTTGAACATCTTTCGAACATTTGTACTGTTAGGGATAGGACCTAATGTGATCGGCTTTAATACCGTTCGCTAAAAGACGGTAGTCAACCGTGTCATCATTTTTCAACAAAATTTGTTATATACATTAAGGCATATTTAATTTTTTAATTTGTCTTAAAATAATCTTGAAAAAATATTGCTGGATATAACCTGAATTAATCCTTGAAATAACCATATATAGTATCTCAATTACATATTCTGTATTAATTTGGGATGCATGATGGATGTTCCAAGGATTAGAAAAGGATGTTTTCTGTTCACATTCTTAAGATTTTTTAATTAAATATTTCCTAAAATTACTACAGATATTATACTTAAAGTTCTTGTTTGCTATTTCTTCCCAGCAAACATAGAACATTGCAACAACATTGCGGCACTATTGTCATATTGCTGTAATATTGTTACAATGTTACAACATTGCCGTAATGTTGCTGCAATGTTCTGTGTTTGCTGGGTTCTTTAAAAATAAATACAAAAACACAAAAGGATATGTCCTTAAAATATCTTATATGTATATGGCCACGCAGGATATCTTTAAGAGATCCAAGAAATATCCTCAGGCTGTTTGGATTTGTATTATATCCTAAATATATCCCACATATGTCCGAGGACATTTCGGATATATTCAGGATTATCCTGAGGATATCTTGTGCTGTCTGGGTAGCGACAGCCAGTGGCAAAAACGATCCTCGAAAGGGACGCAGCTTTTCATAGGTTATCGCTAAACGATACCGAAGAGCCTTGACAACAAGTTACAGAATGCCCGTACAGGACACTGAGCGAAGAGAAAAGCGATCTAGCGAGCGAATGAGTTCGTGAGTGAATAAGTGAATGAGTGAGTGAGTTAGGGAATGAGCGAGTGTCAGAGAGAGAGAGATAGAGAGAGAGATAGAGAGAGAGAGAGAGGGAGAGGAGAGGAGAG